AACGCCTTTTCAATTGCAGTTTAGACCGTTCGCTCTTCCACTAGAAAAGACTGTTTAAATTGATTAATTTATGGTAAACAAATGGCTGGAATAGCTCAGTTGGTTAGAGCGTGTGGCTGTTAACCACAAGGTCGGAGGTTCAAGCCCTCCTTCTAGCGTTTCAACCTTTTTTTCTTCGTTTTTCCCCCAATAACAATAATTAACCAAACCCAATTTCAAAATGTTGCTCGGCCCTTTAATTCAACCCAATTTCTAAATTGACCCAATCCTTTTTTTTTTTTACTAATAGCATAACCCAATTTTACGTGAAACTTTTTTTTAATACAAAGATGATATCATTCCTAACATATCTAATCCTTACAAATTTAATAATTTAATGAAATAAAAACTTTTATATGTTTTCCCATTTTCTTTGCTCATTTTTTTTTTGGAATGTTTCAAAATTATGTCTTTTTTTTAACAATTAAAATTTTTTACTTTTTATATTTTAAAACTTTTATTTATGATTTTTTTACTTTTCAATATTAAAAATCATGAAATTTTAATTTCATATAAAAATAACTTTTAAAATTAAAATTTTAAATTCCATGATAGTCAATATATGAAAAATATTTTAAGACGAAGGGATTAACAATTTTCTAAATATACTATTATATTTTGGAGTTTTGATCAATGAATAAAAACATGGATCGATTGTTAAATCGATGAGAATTTCGGTCATCGATTTAATTAATTTAATCGATTCAATAAATTATTTAGTATTCTTTCAAAATTAAAATTTATAGAAAACTTTAGAAATAGAAAAAAAATTTAGAAAATTGAGAAAAATAAGAAAAATCAAGAAAAAAATTTCAGAAAAATTAAACAACACATAATTAAATAATACAAGTAACAAACAAATCCGTAAGTTCAAACATTAAAGAAATCTAAAATCCAAAGTTCCAAAGTCCAAACTTCAACAAGGGATAGAAAAAAAAAAGTCCACATTGGTAATAATATATTGGATCACGAAATGAAGAATTTTGTAAACCACATGATCTTGAGTGAATAGTTAGCCAAATTTTTTTCCTAAGAAAGCCTAAAAATTTTTAAATTCTTTGTTATCTTGATTCTAGTTGAATTTCACTTTGTTGGCTGATGGAGATTATAACTAATATTTTTTAATGACTTTTTTATTTGTTAATTGTAACATCATCGATACTTTTACATAAAATATTTCTCATGAAAAATATTATTAAAAAAATATGAATTTTGAAATAAAATTAAAATAAAAATTTGAGAGAAAGTATTTTTTATGCTCTACCTAAAAGTTAAAGAGTCATCAGTAATTATTATCTACAAAAAATATTATTTTTATTTTAAATGAATATTGTAGTGGATCTTAGATGAAAAAGTTATATTTAAATTTGATCTCGATATTAAAAAGTCTTAAGATAGTTTTTTTAATCTAAATATTTTTATAATATTCTTAAACAAAGTTTTCTTTTTATCAAATAAAATTGATTCCTTTTCAAAAAAAAAAAAGTGAAGAGAATTATCATCAAATTTCAAAAATTGAAACAATTTTTATTCAATACCAAAAAGATAATGTATAATTAATTTGTACTATTTTTAAATGAGTGTTGTAGGTGTTTATTTTTCTCTATATATAATCGAATTTTTGAACTTAATTTTATTTTTAAAAACCAAAATATATTTTCGATAAATCTTAAACTCAATTTTTATTTTATTAAAAAGATAAAATTTTTAGGTGATCAATCACATTTAACAAAAAAAAATTAATGACAACTCTCAATTTTTTTTATTTACAAAATTTTATATCCTGCTATAAGATTTACGAACCGACACATTGCAACAATACTAATTGTTATATATGACCAAACCTCACCGAGTTACTAACATAATTTATAACTAAAACAAAATTGATCTAGATATAGACAAAAGCTCAATCTCACTTAATTGAGGTCCACAGAAGTGTTGCAATCGTCATGAGCTCTCTAACAACACTTTCTAGGCTCCAAATAAAGGCCTGAATGTGAGAAGAGAAAGAATTGCTCTCTGCCTTCATAAACTGAAGTTATCAAGCCTAATGGATCGATCTCATTTATATAAGTAAAATGATGGACCATTTTAAAATGTTAGTTAAAATTGACCCATCCTATCATGAAATCAAATGCAAAATTAAACTGATATCACATTTAATGATAATAATACTACTAATTTAGATATATTTTAATATAAAATCATAACAATTACTTAGTAATTGATATTAATTAATATAATTAGATATATAATAAATTTATTAATCCACTAATTAAGATAATTACAACATATCATTCCAATAGTAACTTGCTCATTTTTTATTGGAGAATATTGTTCAATCTTTTTGCTAGATCCATATGCTATCTATTATTTTATTGTTCTTTGTCCTTGGTTAGTGCAAACTTGGGGTATGGGAAAAGATAATGCTCTAAGGGTGCATTGATGATGGTTAGAAATTAGAATAGGATAAAAATTCCTTATTTTGTGTTTGGTGTTCACTTTAAGAGGATGAAAGTGTAGGGATCACGATAATTATAATACCATTTATTAGGTCAAAAGATTTAATCCAATCAAATTGAACAATTATACAAACGAAAGTAAAATCAAACAATCAATCAACTAAACAAGAGACAATAATTTAATATGATTCGATCTAATTGACATATATCTATGGATGAGAAAAAAGATTTATTAGTTGTATATAATTTTAATCAATCATTTAATAATTAATACCCATAGATCCTCTCAATTTCTTTTAGTCTTATGGATTGTTCTTAAGCTAAAATATATACTCATATACACCCATATACCATATCGATGTAGATCTTTTCAATATCTTCTAATTCACTCATAAATATTTAAGCATACACACCCATAAGATTTAAATCTCCAATAGTCCTATGAAGTGTCTATCCTTAAAACTCTATAATTCTCTTATATATATTTTTTCATACTTAACCTTAAAAAGATTTTACCTATTTATAAATATACAAACTTATAAAAATATCTTTTATCTTAAAATTTTTTTTATAAGTATTTTTGTTCATCAAGCAATTTATATTTAATCCCAAACAAATCTCTTATGAAATTTGAATTATTATTTTCGTTAAAAAGAATGATTAAAAAAAAAGGGATGACCTTATCCTATGTAAATAAAGAGAATTATTGATAATAGGATGAGTCATCTTCCTGTAATTTGCATAGTCCAAACATAAAAAATAAACCTCCTTCGTTAAATAAGGTTGAATCATCATATATTACGAGGATAAACTATGTTGTGTATTATCTTTATCTTCCTAAAGCGAGTACCAAATAAAATATATAATGATTTTATATTGTCTCATCTATTATTTTATACACAAAATAATTTTAAATATTCAAAGCTTAATTCATAAAGATGTGTTCTTGTTCAATCTTATTTTTTTCTGTTATTTCTACCATAGATCATGATTATGTTTTTTCCTTTCTGGGGATGACTCACTCTTATAGTTCTGGAGTTATTAATATTTTAATTATTGTAATTTAATTTATAATGTGTAATCTTAGTGATATTTTTGTTTAATTTTTTTGTATTGGTCAATTAAAGCTATGACATTTATCTTTTTGGTGCTTTTATTGTTACCCTTTCAATTTGGTGACGAATTCTAATACAAAGCACAATTGACTTTTGTGACAAAATATTGCAAAATGGATAGTTGATCTTGTATTCCATTCATGATATTTCAAGGGTAGGATTTGTTTCAGAGCAGAATTTCTCTGCAATTGTCAACTACAATGAGAATAACCACCTATATAAGAACAACAATTGCTACATCGGAAGAAAATTATGTGCATAACTTACCAATAATTTTTTATCAATTAATTTTTGAATTTAACTGTTGTGTAATAAGGAGTAAATTCCCATGGCATATTCCAGCAATATGTTACGGTCATACCTTCTATTGTATAATTTTTGTTATGTTGGAACAAATTCTGCATTAAAAAAATGGTTAGTGAAAAATCACAACCTAGTAGAAGACTAATAAGGCAATTCACGTCAAATGTAAAAAGCTGTAGATATTTGGGAGCAAGTATTGGCTGTCCCCACCACTCCTGCAGAGGATAGAAAGTAGGTAAGGAAAACCGTGCGGACCTTAGCAAAAGCAGACTAAAAAATAATTGACCCATCCGATATGAAAGTTTTGTGTCTTCTCCTAGAATTTTTTTTTTCAAAGAAACGAAAGTATATTTTGGTTTTGATTTTTAAATTTTAATTTAAAATTATGGGTAAAATAATACTTTATGTTTTATTATAATTATAAAATTTTTATTGCTTTTTGCTATTATCTCAAAATATATTAATTAAAGAGATATAAATTTTTTTAATTATTATAAAAATAAATTATTATTTTTACCTTATTTTTAAGTTAAATTTTTAAAATCAAATTTTGTTTTCATTCTAAAATAATTATTTATTTTTAGCAATTATATTTTAAAAAGATAACAAAGAATACTAATTTTTAATTTATTATTTTAAGTTGTAAACTTTTTTTTGCAAAATTTGATCAAGAATCATATTAATATTATTTTAAAAAATTTAGTACCACCATGAGACAATTTAAAATTTAAAAATCAAAATGAAACTCAGATAAAAAATTTGAAATTATAAATAAACTTTTATCAAATTTTTATATTTTATTAATGTTAAATATAAAATAAAAAAATATAAAATATTCCTACGTAGAAATAATGCTGAACTCAAATTCAAATCCTCCTTTTTAGAATTTTACAATCTCGAGCAGTGGTAGGACACCCATGAAACCGTGTGAAACTAACTGTATTGCATTCATTTGTGATTTGTCTTGTCAAACGACTTTTTCCAACAAAAGTTCCAAACCAAAATGAAACAGCTATGAATGAGAATCCAATATGAACACACGCAACATGGACATACACAAAATAGACCCAAAAAACAAAGACTTTCACGAACATTACTTAAAACTCATTAGCTTCTGCACAACAGACTGCACTTCTTTTCCTCTATTTCAAATTCCTACTTCTTGATTTTTCTACCTACTTCCATTCTTCTTATAATTCCTTCCTCAAATTTATTTATTTCATCATGTCTTTCATTGGAGAGGCCGCTTTATCTGCGTTCTTTGAGGCGTTGTTTCGCAAGTTTTCCTCTTCCGAGTTCCAGTTTGTCACTGAGGAGCGGGTTCGAAAGGAGATTATGAACTGGGAAACTATGCTGAGGAACATCCATGCGGCGCTTGCTGATGCAGAGGGGAAGCAACTGCAGAGCCAGGCTGTGAAGATTTGGTTGGCTGACCTCCAAGACTTGGCTTACGACGTGGATGATATCTTGGACGAGTTTGCGACTCAAGCTTTGGGGCGTAAGTTGGTCAAACAACATCAAGCCACTACGAGTAAGCCTAAAAAATTTAACCCTGCTTACTTCACTGGTTTACATCTAAGTTCAATCAAGTTTAATCATAAGATGATGTCCAAGATTAAAGAGATTACTGGAAGATTGGAAGGTTTAGCCACTAGAAAGAGTAACTTGGAGCTAAGGGAGATCACTTATCATGTTGGAAGGCCCATGACAATCCCAAGAAGGCCGCCCAGTACTTCTTTGGTGAACGAAGCTAATGTACTCGGCAGAGACAAAGACAAGAGGGCAATACTTGATTTGCTGTTGAGGAACGATGGCAGTGATGCTGGAGTTTATTCTGTGATTCCCATCGTTGGCATGGGAGGGATTGGAAAAACAACCCTTGCTCAACTTGTTTACAATGATGGCAGCATAAAAGAGCATTTTGATCTTAGAGCATGGGTTTGTGTTTCTGATGAATTTGATATCATCAGGATAACAAAGACAATTCTCCTGTCAATCACCTCCGAGCCAAGTGATATCAATGATTTGAATTTGCTTCAAGTCAAATTAAAGGAGAAGCTATCGAAAAAGAAATTCTTTCTTGTTTTGGATGACGTTTGGAACGACAACTACAACGATTGGTTGGCGCTTCGATCTCCTTTTGATGCAGGGGAACCAGGAAGCAAAATAATTGTCACAACACGTAGTTCCAAAGTTTCGTCAATTATGACAACTGCCGCAAACTACTCATTGCAATGCTTATCAGAAGAAGATTCTCTCCGAATGCTTGCTCATGACGCATTAGAAAGAGAGGATTTTACAGGGCATCCAGACTTAAAAGAGATCGGCTTGGAGATCTTGAAGAAGTGTGATGGTTTGCCTTTGGCAACAAAAACCATTGGAGGACTATTGCGCACAAAGGTTAATCGTGATGCATGGAAAGTTATATTAGAGAGTGATATTTGGAATCTGCCTCAACATGGAAGTGACATTATTCCTGCTCTATGGTTGAGTTACTATTATCTTCCTTCACAATTAAAGCAATGTTTTGCTTATTGCTCTCTGGTCCCTAAAGATTATGAATTTGGTGAGGAAGAAATAGTTCGATTATGGATGGCTGAAGGTTTTCTCAATGGACCAGAAACTAAAGGGCAAATTGAAGATTTGGGCAGCCAGTGTTTTGAAGAACTGGTATCAAGATCATTCTTTCAAGTATCTAGCATGGATGAGTCTCTATTTGTAATGCATGACCTGATTAATGATCTAGCTCAGTTCGTTGGAGGAGAAAAATATTTTAAAATAGAGAGAAATGACGAAATGAAGCACCCAAGTCGCGCTTGCCACTCCTCTTACATGCTAGGCCACTATGACAACATCAAAAAGTTTGAGTCCCTTTTAGAAGCGAAGTCACTACGGACGTTCTTACCCTTTAAGATGCCGGGGACGTACGAGTGCTTCTTAAGCAATAACGTTCTTAATGATTTACTGCCGAGATTGAAATGCTTGAGGGTGCTCTCTTTGAAAAGGTACCGCATCACTAAAATACCAGATTCCATTGGAAATTTGAGACATTTGCGCTATCTAGATTTCTCTCATAATTACATGAAAGGTCTCCCTGATTCAATATGCGCCCTTTATAATTTAGAGACTCTTTTATTAAGGCGTTGCCTGTGGATTGAGAAGTTACCTACAAAAATAGGAATGTTAGCCAACCTTTGCCATCTAGATATTGCCGGTGCAGATTCAATGAAGGAAATGCCAAGTGGAATTGGTAAATTAACAAATCTCTGTGCATTGTCTAATTTTATTGTGGGCGAAGGCGATGCATTGAATATAAGAGAGTTGCAGAATTTATCAAATCTCAAAGGTCGGCTTTCTATTTCAGAGTTACAGAATGTGAATGCAGCTCAGTATGCAGGGGAAGCTAAGATATCAAGTAAGTCTGACCTCGATGATTTAGAGCTGGAGTGGTGTAAAGACTTCAGTGAAAATTTAAGAAAGAAAGAAGTCCAGACAGAGGTGTTGAACTTGCTTCGACCAAATGAAGTGCTTAAAGCGCTTGCCATCAGGTATTATGCTGGAATAGCATTCCCAATTTGGACAGAAGATCCTTCATTTAAAAATTTGCAGTCATTGAAGTTTGTAAATTGTCCAAATTGCACATTATTACCTGCACTTGGAAAACTACCTCTTTTAAAGGATCTTTATATCGGGGGAATGAAGAGCGTAACTAGTGTTGGCAATGAGTTCTATGGAGAGAATTGGACAAATGCGTTTCCATCGTTAGAGAAATTGCATTTTCGAGATATGCCGGAATGGAAAACGTGGAAGCCATGTGAAGTTGATGAACAAGGAAGAAAATTCCGTTGCCTCCGAGATCTCCTTATTGTGCGTTGTCCCAAATTGATAGGGCCATTACCGGAGTGCCTTCCTTCTTTGGAAAAACTTGAGATTGGTAATTGCCAAAAATTGGTAGTTTCAATTTCAAATCTTCCAAAGCTATGTGAATTAAAAATCGATCGGTGTGAAAAAGTAGTGCTTGGGAGTTCTATGGATCTTTGGTCGGTAAAAAAAATCACCTTTTCTAACATTTCAAAGTTTGCATGTGTAACCAGCGAAAGGGTGTCGACGTTAGAGAAGATGAAAGTAGAAGATCTCAATGTTAAAGGTTGTGAGGAATTGGTTTCTTTATGGCAAACAGAGTGGGGTTGGTTGGTGCCTTTGAAATCTCTTCGTAATTTAGAGCTTGAAAATTGTCCGCACGTCGTTTCTATAGGCGCAACGGAGGAGGATAAAGCAAAGATTTTGCAATTAGACATTCCCTGCAACGTTGAACATTTGGGAATAAAATATTGTGAAGAGTTCCAAAAGTTATCGAAAAGCGTTACATGTCTTAGAGAGCTAGAAATTGCAAAGTGCCCAAAATTGGTTTCACTTTTGGCGGATAACTTTCCCTTAACTCTTAAAAGTTTGGTGATTAGGGAATGTGAGAATTTAAAGTGCTTATTGGAAGATGGGGAGAATATCAATTTCAGCTGCAATTCTCTCCTTGAATTTCTTCAAATTAGTTATTGTGAAGCTCTCAAATCATTATCATCAAGCAGTAAGTTACCCGTTGGGCTTAAAAGGTTGGTGATCTGGAACTGTCCAGAGCTAGAATTTGTAGCACAGGAAATTGGGGATTATACTTGTCTTGAATCTATTGAAATCAGGTATTGTAAAAATATTCTGTACTTACCCCAAGGAATGGACAAGCTTAAATCTCTGTATATTGCTGGGTGTGAAAAACTTGAAGCTCTGCCCAACCTTAACTCTCTTCAAGACTTGACCATATTGAGTTGTCCAAGGGTGACATCCATCCCAGAAGGGGGTTTACCTACCAACCTAACAATGCTTCACGTCTTTGGACCCAATATTTGTAAGGTAGTAATGGAGTGGGGATTGCATAGAGTCAACTCTCTTAAACATCTCCAAATTCATGATGGTAATTGTGATGCGGTGACATTTCCAGGAAGGGGTTTGCCTACCAACCTAACAATGCTTCACATCTCTGGACCCAATATTATTAAGGCAGTAATGGAGTGGGGATTGCATCGACTCACCTCTCTTACAAAACTCTATATCGATGGTAGTAATTGTGTAGATGAGATGTCATTTCCACAAGAGGAGATCAAGCTGCCCTCTTCTCTCAACCTTATTTCCATCTCAGACTTCAAAAATCTAAGGAAGCTATCCTCCACAGGCTTTCAGTATCTTTTCTCTCTTCAATTTTTGTGGATAAACAATTGCCCGAAGCTCAAGTCCCTTCCCAAAAAGGAGGTGTATCCCTCACTTTTGCATCTAAGAATTATTGGTTGTCCATTGTTGAGGAAAAGGTGCGAAATGGATAAAGGAAAATATTGGTCCAACATCGCTCACATACCATGTGTTTACCTTCGTTAAGAATTCATCTACGAGAATGATCAAGAGCAATGTACCACCCACAGGTATTTTAATTTGAAACTAATAGTACCTTTTCTTCTGATTTTTTTTTAAATGTACAAATATATCCACACAAGTAAAACAACTATGACTTAAACGAGCATCGAATTAACTTGCATTTAATTTTTAAATATTTTTAGTTTTACCTTTTTACTAATAAATCGAAATGATAAAGCCATTTCCTTATAAAGCAGAAGAATTAGATCATGTATGACTCATGTATTTTAATCTGGAATTAATTACTATTTTAAGTTCTGATTTTAAGAAAATATTTCGTTATTAAGTATTGATTTTAATATCTACTCAATTAATTACTATTTTTACTATTTTAAGTACTGATTTTAATATCAACTCAAGTACTTTATTTCTTTGGTTTCATGTTGTTTTCTATTTTTTTTGAAGTGATCATTTGTTTGGTTTTCTTTCATCCAATTTTGAATGGTACTAAATGAGCTGTAAATTTCTAGCTTTTGTCCAGATGTCCAATCTTAGAAGAGAATTTCCCATTTTGAGCTGATGGATGTTTGGATGTGGCCTTGTCTTGTTTCTACAAGAGGAAGATATATATAGCATTGATGCAAGAAAAGGGATTTCTGTCTAAAAGGTTTCAGAATCTGTCTGTCGAAAAAATGGTGAATTCTCAAACATTAATCTTTTGCATCTCTTTTGACGACTAGCCTCTTCATTTTGTAGATAAATATGGTTGAATGTTTCTTAATTGCTGGTCAGATGATGCAAACGTGATAGAAGAGGAACTGAATAAAGAGAGCCTACTAGGCACTTTACGTTTCCTCCTTCCATCCTCTTGTTCATTGTAGGTATGCCTCCTAAAACATCTTCTCATTATTATAATTAATCAGTTCTAAGATTCAACCTTTCTCCAGGAAGTGGAATTCTGCACCCTCTATGAGCCCTTTGAGCAATGACTCTGCTCAGCCACCTTCCATCGATGACTTTCAAATAGTGATGTTGCATGTTTGGATGTCATCTTTTCTTCACGAAATAGGTAGAATGCTGCCCACCTTTTGTTCATCTCTTTTTGAAAGTTAAGGTTTCTTCAATTTGTTGCTAAATATTGATGACTGTCCCCTGCGATCAATTGATCAAGAATCTGATAGCTCGGTCCCGTTGTGTGAATATTGATGACAGATTCATTTGTTAACTACAAAAAGAAGCATGAATTTTCAATTGGAAGCCAGGTATCTAGACACTGACATCTTGTTTCGTTGAAATTTCAATTAAAATGAAGATCACCATAATAAGTATCATGTATTCATTGTACTAAAACAGGCAATTGCAGAATTTCTCCGTAATGGAGCTGGCGATTGATAGCATGCTATTGTGTGTAACAAGTCAGGTATTTCAGTTTTAATTATTTTCTTTTGCCTTTGAATTTAAGGAATTTAAAGATTGCTGGACCTTTGGACTTTTGCTACTATGGTACCTGCCTGATTTTAAGTCAACTGTATACTAACTGAGGTGAAAGTGAAAAGAAAGAAATAAACATATTTTGTTTTTACAAAGCTAGTTGTATTTCATTATTAATCATTCTCTTTGGTTGCCAATGCTGCTTATTTTTTATAATTGACTTCTACATCTAATTTTCAGATTATGGAATTGAATAGATTTTTTTTACAATACTAATTTATAACATTGCAGCTTTTGTTTACATCAGTTCTTTTCTCACCAATCTCCAATTTTACTTTTGCTTTGCAAGAACCAGATGCAGTGAAGCTTAATACAAGAATATTACACCAAGCATCGATCCTAGTGGACATGAAGACATAAGCTTCTTGGCTTTAGAGCATGAGCAGGCTTGAAATCCATCCCTTTTCTTCTTTGTAAAATGGTCATTGCTTTCACTTGACTATACATGTCCTTCAAACTATTGCAGGTGAGAACATTTAGAGTTTTCTGGTTTGTTTCTGTTATTTATATGCATAATCAGTGCTCATTTCGTATCAACAACTATTTTGGCTCTTCAGGAGGTATGTGTTTCTGCCATCATTAATTGGATATGGACCAAAAGCAGTATGGCAGTCTTTTGTCCCTGTTGTTGCCTAACTCCTTATGCCATGTAAGCATCAAAGATTTTTAGAGAATTTAATATGTTCAGTTTTTGATAGTTACTCCCACACAGTTAACAGAATGCGTTTGACCTATTATGACAGGATGAGTGAAACTCACTCGTTATAATGCTCTCAAGATTCAGTGATGGGAAGTTGTCTAGGCTGCATTTCCTCTTCTAAAAAGGATTCTTCCCAACTGGTTTCATGGTTAAGATTCATAGCAGTGTACTCGAATCCCACGTGGAAGAAAAAGAATAAGCTTTTGGGTTCAACCATGATTCTAAATTGCATGATTGGCATTGTTGGATCTCTTAATCCTTTCTTCCAAAACGAGTGATATTAGAGACTAGAGAGCAACTTGGAAAACATGGCTGGTGATGCTGATTCAAGAAAGTCCAGTTCTGAATACTTGATGATGGCTGCACAGCTATATAGCTTGAGAAATTGTTTCCCACCAAAAGGAAAATTTGGTGTTTGTAAGTGGATGCACAAATTAAAAGAAAAGGAAGAGAAAGAGACCACCTTCAATCAAAACAACCAGATATGTTGTGGTGTCTCCACAAACAGTCCACTTTTGGTGAGATTGCTCTTGTTATCGAAGAAATTTACCTTTTTGTTGATATCTTCTTGTAACATCCTGTGGTTAAACTAGAGAAGACTCGTGTTATAATCCATTATTTTGAGTAGTGAAAGATAAGTGGGCTTGGTCCCGTGGTTTTTTCCCCTCACCAAGGGGTTTTTTGTGTAAAATTTAGTGTCCTGCTTTTTATGAGCTGATTATCATTTCTGTTTATTCCTTTGATATATAAATGATTAATTACTTGTCTTTCCACTTCCTGCTGTGTTGCCAGTCCCCATTATTTTGGTTAGTAGCGTTGCCTAGCTGTGAACGATGAACTTTCCATTATGTATGAGGCATAATCAAATTTTTAAAAGGAACTATCCATTATCTCCTAGTTAATGCCTCAATTTGATAATCAAGTAGAAAAACTTTAATAAATTATCTGTTTCACTTGTATTCATTCCAATTCTTACAACATTCAAACTCAATTTCAAACTTTATCGCTTGTGTCTTTGGTAAAATTTTTCAAAATCACAAACATATTAGCTTTGTTAATTGAATGTTAAGTGAAAACCACAAAAAAATTTATGGTTTTGTTTCACAAAAAATATTTTATAAATATGAGTTTAAATCTTTATATATATATATATATATATATATATATATATCATAACAAATTCTCTTAATAATTGAAGTATTACACATTAAGAATCATGTCTTGTATAATTTAATTTTTAATGAAATTTCAAGTACAAGCAGAAAATACTATTATAATTATGCTAAATTACCAACATTTTAATTTGGTCATATTTTAACCTAAAAGTTCACAAGATCGTCTCGCGGGATTCTTTACCATATTAACTATACATGATCACTTTGATAGCAAAAAATTAGACCTTGGCTTACAAGTAAGTCCTAATATTTCCTTATTAAAATACCTTTCCTCTAAAGACGAAATAACGACAACAAGTTACCAAGTTTTAAGCGAACAACATCGGGTAACAGGTGCAATTGAAAAAATCCTTGCATCAACAAAAGGAAAGCTAGAACAAAAAGGCCTAATCTCTTTTCCTGTAACCCTCCCAATAAAAATCCTAGTGAAAGAAGGGTTTAATCCCATAAAACATTTGTTACAATTATATTAGTTGCTTAGCCATTTGTATGGTTATTTATTTGAGAATAGAAATGGTTGTTTCAAATTTTCATACAAATTTTTTCCTTAATATATCTATAATTAAGTATATAGTGTTACACTAGGGAAGTCTTATTTTAGTGGCTATACATATATAAATATATATATATATATATTATATTACAGGAAACAAAAATACATTATAAAATATGCTAACATGGATGCTACGTGGATAATCTCTTTTTATAACATATAGGATAATATTTATATTATATTATTTATCAATTAACTCTATTTAATAAATTATTTAAATTTAATATGCTTGGATAATTATGTAAATTTAATATGTTTAGATAATTATTTAAATTCAAATCAAAATCTATAAAATATTAAAAATTTTATATAAATTTTAAATTCAAATATATTAAATTATAAATTACATTTCTTTTTTAATTTAATCATTATTCCAAATATATATAGGCTTAATAAACTTTTATTTGTTGTCTAATAATCTTATTTAATAAATTATATAATTTAATATTTTTTGGTAACTATTTAAATTCAAATCAAACTCTATCATAAATTAAAAAAATTTACATAAATTTTGAATTTAAATATATTAAATCATAATTTATCTTTTCTTGTCAAATTTAATCATAACTTTACATATATACATATATATATATGTATATATGTGTATGGATAAACTTAATAAATTTTTACTTGTTGAAATCAAGATCTCAAAATAAAAACAAAGAACTTGTAAAGTGATAGCATTACTCTCTAACCAATGTTATTTTATTTGTTATTATTAGAATTAGAAATTGAAGAATATGATTTTTTTTTATGTAACGATTATGACTTATGAGTTTTAATAGAAATGGATAAAAGTTAGAAAGAATAATAACCACATCATACTCATGTATAAGTAAATTGATTTTATTCTTTTATTATTCTTTAATTTCTTTTATTTTTATCTTTTAGTTTTAAAAATAAGTTTGTGATGGTGTTGGATTTTTTTTTTATAATATTGATTTTTTTATATTTCAATAATGAAAGGAAAATGCACATTTGGATTATTTTCAACTAGGTAATAGGTATAGTTCATTACTTTTTTCATATTATATTTCTTTTTTTTTCCTCTATTTTTTTTGTTTGTTCAAACCTTTTATTTGGTTTTATTTGCATTATATGATATATATATATATATATATTTAGATTTGATTTATTCTAAAAAAAATTGGTTCATATGTGTATATATATATATATAATTAAACTGAATATTTACTATGCATAAAAACAAGAGATCTAAATTATATATACTTTTTCAATTTTTATATTTGGTCAAATCAAAATTTATAAAATATTAAAAATTTTACATAAATGTAGACACCCCAATCTGTCTGGGGTCTACAAGATCAACTTTGACAATTAAAAAATTAAAAAAATAATAAAAATGAAAAAACAAAAAAAGGTGTTTAAGTTTGCATAAAATTGGGCTGGTAGAGTTTGGATTGGATTCAAAAATTGAATCTCAATCACAAGAAAAAATTGGGATTGATTAGAAACTCTTCTGATCAATCTTTATAAATAAACGCTGAAAAACACAAGAAGAGGGAAGAAAAAAAATTGACAGCAGGTAAGGGAACGTGAAACTGCTAGCACCAAAAGAAAAAAAAAAAAAGAAGAGGAACCAAAAAGAAGACTGGGCAGCAAGAACAGAAAAAGCTAGCAGGAACCAAAAAACAAGGGAAGGCAATAGTGGAGGGGAACCACATGCGTGTGGAGCAAGTGCCTTAGTGTGTTTTGATGCCTTAGTGTCATGTGATAGGCTAGCACATTGATTTGGTAGAATTTCATCCCAAAGGTTCACGTCAACTTTGGTACTTTTACTTTTTTATTTTTTTTTTCAAATTCTTTAATTTGGTACTTTTTTTTTCTTATTTGATTGTTTATTCATTTGTTTTGTTTTATGCATAATTATTTATTTATTCACTTCGTTTTATGGTTTTCATTATTTGATATTAAATTTAATAAAATAATAAAAATAAAAATTTTGGGAATAAATATTAATCATCCAATGATGGAATTTATAAAAATTTCAAATAATAAATTTTTATGAAATTCCTAGGTGAGAAATTTTGTTTAAATTTATCCCAAATGGTGAAATAATTTAGATAAAATTTCAATAATAATAATTAATATTTATTTTCAAACCAAAAAAAATTAAAAAATTAAAAATAATAAAAAACATAAAAATATAAAATTTTTGGAATTAAATACAAATTACCCAAGGATAAGATTCTTAGAAATTTCAAATGGTAAATTTTTAAGAAATCTCTAGGTAAGAAATTTCCTCTAAATTTGGCCTAAAATGGTGGAATGATTTAGATGAAATTTCAATACAAGTAATTGTATTCTTTTCGAAATAAAAATTTAGATTGAAAATATTTGATAATTATCTAAAAATGAGATTCTTATAAATTTCAAATGGTAAATTTTTAAGAAATCTCTAGGTAAGAAATTTTCTCTAAATTTGACTCAAATGGTGGAATAATTTAGATGAAATTTCAATAAAAATAATTGTCATATTATTTTCTTTCTAAGAAAAAAAAAAGAATTTCTAAATAGACCCAAATGGTAAAAATTTTAGAAATTCAAAAGAGAAAGTATTTCTAATTTGGCCCAAATGGTGGAATAATTAGATTTATTTTCAACCAAAATGGTAATAATAATAAAAAATAATAAATAAATTTTTTTCTGACGATGGAGCCTCTTCAAGAAATCAAATGGGATTCTTGAATACTCTTGAGGTGAGGAAGAATTTTTTTGAGAGTACTACCAGATTGATGGAGAATCTTAAAAATTGTTTCCAATATTTAACATAAAATTTGAAGCCATTACATTCTAAACCTTAGGATAAATTCGAAATAATATGGTACCATCCCTTGGATGGGCATGTGGGGGTGCTATAACCTTTCTCATATGTAACCGAACTCTTGAACCTTGTTATGGTTAATAGACCTGAACCTAATCTTTTAGGAACCCTTAGTCGAGCTTAGGAGTTCTTTAAAAGGATAGATTCCATAGGTGACCAATCACACCTAATAAAAGATTGGTGACGACTCCATTCATTTGTTGAATCTAGCTATAGATTTTCGAATCTATATGTTATGACAGTTTGGCGACTCCACTGAGGACATTAGAGAGTCAAGCCATAATTTTTGAATTTATCCTATCCTTTGAACTAATGGCCTTAAGTTATTTGTTTACTAACATTTTTCTTTTTTTGGTTTCTTATTTGATTTATGGGATTGATAATTTTGTGTTCCTTCACACACACTACCACATGCATTTGCATTATATGGGCTCTATACCCAGGCTCAGTCCCTCTTAGGAGGAAGTAAAATATCTACGCTCTCGTAAGATGATAATCTCCGTAATGGCTAGCAAAATACTCCCACTCAAATTGAATCATTTCCATTGATAGCCTGTGATGGGTGAGGATCAGACTAGTGAACAATGATGTAAGGAACAATTTGGGAACCTTTTAGTGGTCAAAATTTTCTAACCCTGCATATAGTTCACCCCTAAGAAACCAACTTAAGCCCTTCCTATCCATCAATAGATACAACCCAAAATTAGGGCACAAGAAGGAATAATTTGTTATCTAACCATTTTGTCTGCTTGATTTTGTGCATCTATATGTCATTTCATTCTCATGTTCTAGCATTATCATATCATGATCATATTTAACACTATCGTTTGTATCATTTTCATAGAGGAAATATTTACCGTATATCAGTTATTGATAAATCAAATCTCACATTTACATTCATGAAAAGTCAAATGCAATCAAAGTCTACATCAGTCCACTATGAGTTTGCTCATCAATTGAAAATTAAGTCAGAAGAGGGTCAAAGAAAACAAAGAGATTGCTTGCCTAAGGATTTTATTTCATCATTACCCGAAAGAGTTCATATAGAACTACAGCAAAATGATCAATCCAACTTAAACAGTATATGAGGATGCATGAATAGAATAAGACAAGAGGAATTTGAGAATAGATATAGAGACATAGCTTCACTGTTACGGTGCAAGTGGATAATAATTTGATTAGGGCTATCATTCAGTTTTGAGATTCTTCATA